AGTGTTGACCCCCATTCTTCTTCCACTATTCTGAATTGAGCATGGAAAACAGCACTCTCTTCGGCAGACGACGGTTGGGCATACGCAACACATGTCCCAACCAACGCGGCTTCTGTTGCTGGACACATTCTTCGATGAAATTATCCATTGTACAACCGAAAACTTGCTTTCTAATTGAATGGTTTCAGATTTGCTGACACCAATCCACACGAGCAATGGTTCTGAGACAACGGTTGTTGAATACCCGAAGACGCCTCAGTTCCGCTCCTCGAACAGGGCAAGTCTCACAGCCATACAACGATTCAAATCAGACACTACCTGCCAACCCAAGTTGACAGGTTACTTTGAATCATGCACCACCGAAGCTACCTGCGTAGCAATAAGTTTGGATTTGGTCTAGGTGAGTTTTGGTTGAGTGGTTCCAGTGCCCTTGAAGTCGAACAACATCAAAGAAAGGCGACTCACATGGGTGGCAGATAAGACTCCTTTCGACGAATCGGTTTTTTGTCCAACTTTGACCGTTCTGATGAACGTCTCGTGCTGCGTGAAATCCCTGAGGTGCCACTGAAGGAAGAGGCAGAATCTGTAACGAATGACGTTCTCTCCCACAGTTTTTCACTACAAATAAGAAAACAGGAGAAATCCGTATTTCGACGATTCAGACGAGTCTGTCCGATACAAACACAACCCACACTAACACTAACGGCTTTCACACTTTTTCCTATTTATTCATTGGTTTTTCCTGAGAGTTTGGCCTCATTCTGGAGTTTTCACATGTATGCTTTAGCACAACAAACGGTTGCCCGAATGTCCCAGAAGGAATTCGTAAACAATCAGTACTTTTAGAGAAATACACTCATTTGCACACAAATTTGGCTTTGCGAGAGATTCACCTGGAACCCAGCTGAATCTCTCGTTTGTGATGTTTCCAGGCAACTGAATGTGCTGCACCAGGGCGCCTCAGGTTTCAGCTGCTACGATATTCGAGATATCGCAATACATCTATAGACGTAATCCTGAAAATTCTTCGACAGCCCACGACCGGTTTCGCCCTTTTTTGGGCTCATCAGTTAGTACTTTTTATAACTGAGCAACGTTTCGCTGGGTAGGCTACAAAGTTGGCTGGGCATACGGCGAGCCATCAGCAAGATGTCTTCTGATTAACACATTAGATCACTGTTGAATATCAGACGGAAGGCCTTGTCGGTTCGTATGGTTACCTGAATCCTACGGCTGATAGGCTAAGGGCATCTCAAATCCTTATAGTTCTGGTTTGGATCCTTTGTCTTCCAGTTCAAAGCGCCTCAATTCATTATCCATCTTGGAGGGTGTGAGTTTCAAGTGTTACGACAGTTTAGTTCGGCCGGGTTGGAAAGTGGGAGTTGGTAAAATTTTCGGTCGCTTTGGTTCATGCCACTTATGTCGATGACTCCTCTTTCTGGTAGCCGTGTAGATAAACGCGGTTTGAGTGTAGGTCTTTATTTCGAAGTCCCTGTTGAACAGATTTGATTGTCTAAACAGATCGATTGCTAACATTTCAGTGGGAGGTTCGCTAGATCTACTGTTTACGAGTCAGGATTCAATAACCAATAGACTTTGTACGGATTTCACTGAAATGTTGTGTTTGCTCCGATCAGGTGACATTGTTTGAACCCAAGATTCCGGTCACTTCAACCTTGCTGTGGTAGCTAAAGCCTGAATTAGATTGCAAAGAGAAGTAAGACAAACTCTGATTTACAGCCTTACTGGTTTAAAGGGCTCATTAAGCCGGAGCTACGAGCTGACCGATTGCTCTAGGGAATAAGATCCTGGCTTCGCTTTTTACCTTTGTCCTGATATCATGTTTAGGCATTTCTTTCTCTGATCTTAAATAGATTATGTAACGTGACTTGCCCATGATGTCACCTGGACCACCCAACCTATCCAGCGTTCTACACTTTGTACGTGTTTTGTGTGTCTATGTGTGTGTCATACATCGTCACTTCTCCGCCCATCCTGCGTACTCTTCTCGATTGTTTTTGGTCGGTTTCCAGACCGTCAACCAACCAATCAACTAAGAGTCATCTTTGGTTTTATCCTCTCGACCAATCAGCATCTCCCTTTAGACTGGCGTGGTACATCCTTGATACTTGTTTTGTTGTGACTCGTGGTAACGGCGTGCGTTTTGGTAGATCACCTGTACACGTTTGTAAGTATTACCGTTGGATCTGAGACCTACATCTTCGTTTTGATATTCGGGATTGATGGACTACGCATAACTAGATGTTCTGCTTAGTAGACAGTACAAGCAATCCCAATTACAGCATTTTAATGACGATAGCCCAACAGCTACTGTCCACCAAAGAAGAAAAATGGGGATTCCAGGTACGAAATCTCCTTCTCCTAAAACCAGTGATATGTTGGGGAAAAAGACGGTGGCTGTTGGTGTCTCTCAGTGAAACCGGTCAAAGACTCCAATCCTGCAACGGGAACAGAAAACTGAACTTTATGAATCCAGTCGCATTTTTACATTCAGTAAACCCTTCAGGACAGATGAAAAGCTTTCCGCAAAGTGATGTTCAATCCGAAAAAGTGGAAGAACAAGTAAACATTTAAAAAAAATCTGCAGTCAGTTCATCCAGCGGAGAGTTGAACAGGGACTTCTGTCCGGAGACCGACCACAAATCACACTGCTTGATGTTAACTACAAGGCTGTGCTTGGCATTTTGTGAACAAAATACGCTCACATGAGCCAATTGTTGGGAACTAGTTACTCCAGCCACTAGACTGTATGTTACGAACATTGGAACAAGAATGCTTGCGATTCATAATTACTCACCTCACGGAAGGTGAACATGATAGCTTCTGGCCCTGAAAGTGTAGTGAAGAACATCAAGACATCAATTTTGTGAAGTACTGACAGTCAACAGTTGGAGGTACCTGTGGAAAGGCCATTTAGCATATGTTATTTGTATATGTATATATCGCACTTGAGAACGGTCATGTGACGGCCAGATTATATGTTATTGTGGACATGTGCCGGAACGGTGAATGTTGCGATAGAAAGCAAAACTGTCATTTGATGCAGTGATAAGCAAGCGGTCTTACCGGAGTTTAGGAGTATTCGTTTGTTCGCATTTTTTGTTCACACTATGCCAAACACTGTGACGGTGCATGGCGGTAGCATAGGCAAAAGCTGTTGCGTACGGTCACTTGAACAGTAAGTGGTGTGCTTAGGAAACTATTCATAAAGTTGCTGAAAAATAGTTGACAGCCACGACCGGTTTCAGCCTTCTTGGGGCCCATCGTGTGGACGCAGTTCTCGAGTTTTTGTCAAACCTATGTTATCCCTGAACCCAGCTAGCACGAAATCGCCGAACTACACTCAACTGCATGTTCGTTTTGTTTTCATGGGTAACTCAGCTGAATCTCTCGTTCATGGTGTTCTCCAACTGAATTTGCTGTACAAGGCCCGCCATATGTTTCAGTTTGTACGATATTTGGGATATCGGAACACACTGTCTGATTGTAGCACATCACTCACAAGGTTGCTCTGACATTTTGATAGCACCAATGCGAAATGTCACCGTGTGTTTTGAGTTCACTAAAACCAAAATTTTCTGACCCAGTGATGCGAATAACTTGAAACGTAAATTGTCCGCCTCCAATCTCCACTCCACTCACCACTTCTCAGGTGTTCCCCTGCGACCGCATCTCCCCATCCTTCTTGAGACCAGGAATCAATTAGTAAAGGGCTTCCTGATGAATCATCTTGTCGGCCAGGGAGGGTCTTTCACCTTGTCTTGATGAGGGATAGGAGCGTTGTAAGATCCATCTTGGACTTGACTGGGGCCTCGCTCACACTGGAATAAGGAATTCATAGGGTTTCAGATTTCGAACCAGTTTTTCTTTCAGCTCGCTGGTTTTCTATTGCGGTCGAGAGTTGTTCAGATGGCTGCTACCGGCAGAACTTTTCGGTGGCTGCTCGTGGGTTTCAGCAGCAACCGTTGATGTTGGTAGCTAAGATGCCAGTCATTCCTTCCAGAAAAAACTGTCGGCTATGGTATTGGAATCCGTGTAGCTTGTCATGCGGAAAAACTAGGAAGGTTCTCCGTAAAAGGCATCTTTGACACCCACTGGATTATTTTGGGGGTGTATGAAAATCGATGAAAAACGTTTGGGTTTTGGTTGGTTCGTTTCGGATTCCGGTTTACTCGGATAGATCGACTACACTCAGTCAGTTGCTGACACGAATCTAGTCCAACGGAGTTCTCCCGAGCAGTACTTGTTGCCGTTTTCTTCAGGGCGGCACGCCCGGGACCCATAACCCAATCGGTTACCCACATGATTGTGGGTGCTTGACGGGGCATGGAGCGAGTCGTAAGCGTCTTACACCTGACGCCATTAAGCACATTAATTGCTTTTCAATCCTTACCAGGCCTTTGAGTTTTAAACGTATTTCGATCACATTGAATAATGCGACAGTGATTAAGACTGGCAGTTGGGCCCATGCTATGTGGAAGTATCATTACTCCCAGAAGTATGTAGGTACTGATTGCTCGAATGAAACGCCCTGTATCGTTCATGCCCCTTACCCAGCGGACAGCTTGCCTTCTAACCCGGGCGGTCTCATACTACGATTATCCATGGTAACTGTATTCATGGCTTTGTGACAATCTACATCCCTCTGAGCTTCTTGACGCGGATTTACGATGAAAAAGCAGGTTTCAGCATGTGCCCAATCATCATATCAAGGTGGCGGCCCTTGGTCAGAAAATTTGCACTTTGGTATTGATTCAAATCTTATGTAGCCATGACAACGCATGTCGAAGTGCAAACCGGCATAGCATTAAAATTACACAGAACTCAATACAATGCGAGGACACTTCCCGTGAAGTAATACATTAGCCAAAAGCGTGATGAAAGACTTACCTTACTGGGAGCAGTTTCTGGCGGCTCAAGTTTGAACGTTACTGAGCTGGTTTCATGTGATATTTCCCGAGAGATGGATGGTATGGTGGAGCTTACAGATTCCATTAAGGAAGAACCTTCTGGAAACACCTCACTGATAGGTGGCTTGTTCAGTAATGCTGCGTCGCTGTATGTTGACACTGATGTATCACGTTTCCTCGCCAAACCTTTCACAAATATGCCCATCTCTTGATTGATGAACTGGTTTTTCGTTTCAGTCTCGGTTCGAACGACATTCGTTTGCCTTGTTCTGGACAGCGGTTCTCTGGTTCTGCTGAGCGTTGGACTGCTAACCGTAGATTGGACTTTTGGCACACTGTCAGTGGGTGTCTTTTCCCCACTCATAAACGCCGGTTCATCAGAAACGGTCTGTTCGAAAATCATATCCGTGGGCACATATTCGGAGAGTTTTGTTTTGGGTTGTTCTATCTGCACAGCTTCACTGTTTTCCTGGTGTGGAACTGTGCTTGCAACGTCACCCCCATTGGTATCCTTTGGAGAAGTTACAAGCGGACTTTTTGATTTTTCTCTCATGCGCAAGGTCAGAGGTTTTGGCTTTGTCAGAGGTCTTGCTGTGGGTGCAATCCTCATTTGTTGATCCTGGACCGCTCTTGTTCTAGCTGGACTTTGTGGGGTTTTGCCTGATTCCACAGCTTCAAACATTTGCTTAGTTTTTCCAGTTTTTCGGGGGGCGGAGGCGTCAACTGGGTGGGCAATCTGTTTTGTCAAATTATCGTCATCAGGAGGCGAGGAACAAACTGGCGCCGATTCGGTTGCTGGCGTTGGAGGGGGTACAAAAGTGTGGATCATCTCCCCTCCCATATTTCCTTGTTCTGATGGACTGATGACTGATTCCTGCTCCATCGTAGACGGCTGTTGGACGTCCTCAATCTGATCTTCGGATTGCAATCTGTCCGATGACAAAGATGCCTGAGGTCGCACACTACCGTGTCGTGCTTTTCTTGCCAAAAGCTTATTTCGTTTGAGTATTTCTTTACACTTCTCCTTTATAGTCATTTGTACTTCCTTACGAAGTCGATTCAGCTGGTCATCGATCGCAGCGGCTACAAGAGGTGGTGTCATGTTATCGCCCAACAATTCGTTGCGTATCACCTCAACTAAATCCTTCAGACGCGAGGTGCTACTTTTGCGCAGTTCACTAAGTCGTTCAGCTTGAATGAGCTGCGCACTTTGTAGATCCTTCCATTCACTAGTTATGGGACGTACACGGTAGTGAAATATCGAAGTGACAGCCTTTATCAGCTGATCTGTCAGCTCCTCTGGCAACTGTTGTTGCTCATCCAAAACCCAGTCTTCCGTAGGCACTGATTCTGCGATCACACGTAGTCGTTCCCGTATATCCTCAATCAGAACGTCGACGGCCGCGCTCAGCTTTTCTTTCACTTCCTCTGGAAAATTCTCAGTCATTTCAGTCATCCGTTCGATCAGCATTTCTTTCAGTTCCGAGACTCGATTATCACAGTCATCCTCCAGGTCTGGCCCCCATTCTTTAATCGCTAGTGTAAATTGTCCAAGGAAGTTTCGCACATTTTCCACAAAGAATGTGTTGAACTTCGTTAGCTGCATTCCCTGCTCGTCAAGCAGCAGTGTTTCTTGTGTGATCTGATCTGCCATCAGCAGCTGAGCTGCACTGGTTTCGCAATATGTCTCCAACTCATTTAGACGCTGTATCTGACTGGACCGACGATTCGCACGATCTCCGGAGGATGCAGAGCTAGATTCCGCACTTGATGACGAGTGAACATCACAGGACGGTTCCTCTAGACCGGAACGTCTCTTAGACAGTCGCGCCTGCCTACCGGATGCTGTGAGCAAAGCTTTGGTCAGGTCTGACGACTTTGAATGATGTGCTATCGAACTGACGGTTTCATTCAACAAGGTGCTTCCAGTTCGCAAGAAACGCAGCTTTCGCGTAATTCTCGTGTTCCTTTTCGGGAGTTGATGCTTTGATTGTTCAATCAGCTGACAGAGGAAAGAAGATGGATGGTGTTTGAGAGGCTATCATATGAAAAAGTGCTGGTAAACCGATAAATGGGAAAAACAAATCACTCACGACAGAAATGGTCAATTTATCTATGGCATTCTGAATGTGAGCCAGAGCAAATTTGACCTCCACCTTGGTAGCTTGAATCCCCGTTTTCAGATCGGATTCTTCGTATTCTGGTAGTTCAGTAAACGTGGTCGCCAAAAGTCCTTCATCTCGTAGTCGTTCTATCTTGGAACGCAACTCCAGACGACTGAGGCGCATTGCCTTGCTGAGACTGAAACGCGTGGGAATAAAATCAAATATTGTTGCTCAAATTTCACATTCCAGATCATGGTTCAAACAGACTTGCGTTCAGTCAATTTCGCAAGTAGTCATGATTGGTTAGAGCGCAATAAGAAAATGTTCTCTGCTTTCTGCACGCACAAACCGCATTCATTGTCGGTGTAAGACATCTCCTACAAGGATAAACCGTTTTTCTAGGACGCAACGCATGTTTTGAGGATGGAGCCACGCTAATCAACAATGGATGGTGATTGGACATCCATAATGCGGTGCATGAGTATATCGATTTAAGCTGACCCTAACACAATCAACACTGCACGAAATAACATGGAACAAAAAGAGCACCTGATGCACCCTGAGGGTTCCATTCCTACAGATGATCAAAATGCTTGGTGTAAATGACTCGTTGAGGGGATTGAAGTGTTACATATATAGACGAAACCACTGTGCGAGCGAGCGTACGCGTTGCCGAACACAAGACACGTTCGTTCTTTCGCCCCAAAGCGTTTCACAACATAAAAATCTGGAAGAAATTTCGCGAAATTCATTCCTTTACAAACTATTTCGTTTCGGAGCGAGATGCTTAGAGGGCGAATTTATTACCCAAAAGGTCCATGGTTCGAAAGCGACCTCTGTCTCTCGACTTCCCCTGTCTAGGCTTGGGCAGCCTGGCAGTATCCCAGCCCTCGTGCTTCCTTTGGGTGGCATGGCAGCTAGGCACCGTAAGGGTGTTACAGCTGAACGATTAACTTGGTTTTCACGGCAGATTCAATCAAACTCAACTGAATTCAATTCAATTGGATCTCTTGGTATTCTCTAACAGAATTTTCTACCTAAAGGTCCCCTCATTGTTTCAGTTGTCTAACCGCTCCGTCCAAAGAAGGGCAAAACCTGTTGTGAGCAATCACAGGGTCATCCACTGTCTTATTATTGCTGTTGCTTCAAGAAAATGTATTGCGATATCCCGCATATCGTACCGACTGGACCAACCAATTTGGTGTGCAAAAGGCCTTATTCGAAGTAAAGTGAGAGCATTTTGAAATTTTTCCATGGACATTTAGTCCTGTGAGCAAAGCCAACCCATAGTAAAAATCCGGAATCCATTGTGCAACCGCTCAGCGCTATCGAGCATCATCAGTAGTGCATTTCTCACAAGTCTCCAGAGAAACCCAAACCTCTAGGAGTTCATGATCAAACCGTTCGGTAACGACAAGTACTCACTCAAGGAGCCAGTCTACACGTGAGCACGTAATGTGGATTCCGTGATAGAAGGATGAGTAGCACTACGTCCTGACTAAGTGAGAGCCTATCAAAATCACACAGCAAACACTGTCGTAATTCGTCCTACTAGTCCGGCTACATTTCCAACCATTACAGTCTGAATTCTTATCAGGGCTTTTGTGTCCCTTAGCTACTAGACTGTCAACAAGTATTGAGCCACAGAAGCAACAGGAGCACAAATTCCATGCCATTTGAATCAACGAACATTGCTCAGTTGATAAGACCGGAAAATCATTGGGAGACCTGTTAGCTGTAACGAAAGTAGGACCACCAGTTGTTGGACGCCCGGTCCAGTCTTGTGGCTGGCGTATTTTTCACTGATGCGTAAACAGCATTTTCAGCTTGTCTGCATACTACTTTTAACGGTTCTAGTAACATTATCAATCAATTTAGTCTTGAGTTTCCCTTATCTGCAGGTGAATCACAATATCTGTTTCTGACTGTCTTGCATCTATCTGCGATCCTTTCTCTCTCTCACACACAGGTGAACTTGAACCAGGATCCGGTCTATCCAAAAGTGAATACGAATCTAATATGTGTTCGTGATAGCACTTGGGATAGCACAAATAAAGTGTTGGAAAAGATCTCAGAACTACGTTTGGTGAAGTTTTTTGGTTGCGTGGCAGGTGTGTACCGCATCAGAACATCGGGACAGATTCCAAAGTTGGAATATCGCCTATCAGCAATGCTACAGCACCTAATTTCCATATACGTCCGCTGAAAATGGTGAACAACCTACTCAGAATCACTTACGTTTCTATAATCGCGTACTCTTTTCTCAAGCGTAGTAGACTTTCAACCGCCGGAGAAGGTGACTGGGAAGACCATGTGGATGAGAACCGCTGAAATTAGAACGAAATAAAAGTAAATTGGCCATTTTTCCGTCACCTCTGAAATTTCGTTACCGTGCTTTCATGATTCGAATCACGTGACGAATAGGTCAAAGTTTATTCTTAGTTTTCAAATAAACGAATGCTCGCGGAGAATATCTGGAACCATTAACCCCTTGGAAGTCCGTATCCAAGACGGTAAAGGTTTGGTTAGGTCTCTAAAGCTTTATAGATCCCGTGAAACCATGAAACTCGCCAAGTTAGTAGCCAGACAGCTATGCTCAGTGCGTATTGCCAACTGTAGGACGAATGCGTAAGGTTTTCAGCGCCACTAATTTGGAACTACAAGCAACATGGTCACTGAAGTCCTTCACTTGGGTATTCGTGTTCAAATCGTAAAGAAAACTACTCACAAGGTTGCTGAAAACTCTTCGACAGCCCACGACCGGTTTCACCCTTCTTAAGGCTCATCAGGTTGGCGCAGTCCCCGAGTTTCCGTCAACCTTATGTTCTACTTGAACCCAAATTAGACCGTTTCCGAGGAATACACTCATTTGCCTGTGCGCAGCACATTCAGTTGTAGAATATCATAAACAAGAGATTCAGCTAAGTCTCTCGTGGAAACCAAATTGATATATTCAAATTGCTTTATTATGTATATAACCGGACAGGCAAAGGCGGAACAAGTGAGCTGTTTCCACTTAGGTGACCTGGTTGGCTCGTAGAATGTGAAGCCGCCCGAAAAGGTTACTGCGAACAATTAAACTGATATCTGCAGCATAACCTCGAAATTAGTTTGGTGGTTAGCCAGTCCGACAGAAACGTCGCACCTCAACTGACAGTAGATATTTCATGAATTCCTCTCTGTTTTGATGTAGGAGAGATGAGGATTAGGGACATGTTAGTGTTGGATGCAAGCATGCACAATGCAAATGAAGAAACGTAGTCCTTGGACTGGACTCGAACCTGCGATCTTCCTCTTTTTGTTTGTCGATGTGACCAGAAGATACGTGTTCATGTGATGCCTAAACGCCTGCATGAAAATCCCGTTGGTCCGGTTTGTGAACATATCATCAATATGGAGTTTCTGTATGCCAGTCGTACAATACTATCAGTGTCGTAAATGAATGAGGCACAATTTCTTTGAATGTACTCAATAATATATGCAACAATATATATATAATATACAATAATAAAATTCACGACAATGTCATAATCTGGGAATGGACTCTTGTGCTAACTCTTTTTATCAAAGCACAGTGAACTTCGTGAAAGGACACGAAAGGACACACGTGAATAAGGACACACGGTGACCGCGGGAATTTAAATCCTCAAGTAACTTGATCATATTGGTTGAGAAATAGAGCTATCATCGTCTGAAGCCTGCGGGAATGATCTATCTACTATCACCTGAATGAGTTGTCAAGGCAACTGACGCAGCTTCAGTAGTTGTCATTCGATCATTCCCATTTTTATGCCAGGCCCTCATGTGACATCTTTCTGTTTTCGGTTCTCCCAGTGTACCTGTGCTGTTAGGTAGGTGGGACGAACGGGGCAAAAACTGGTCTGTTGCAATTTCTGAGCACTTTTCAAAGTGTTTCGATTGATTTGTGCTGCACCATCAGCCAGGTCATTGGCAGGCTGTCTGTTGAATCACAATCCGAGTGTAGAATTCAACCTCCCTATACACACAGCCAGATTATCAGGCAGACATGACGGCCGTCATTTGGCACCGTCAGCTGACTGAATCCGCCTGATCTCTCTAGACAGTCGAGCTCTGAATGAGAGTACACGACAAGTGAATAGACATCATTTCACCGAGATGTTGTTTTGTCTCAGATTGACAACAACTGAGTTGGTGTGGTAAGGAAAAACCGTCCAGCTGTAACACCCTTACGGAGCCTAGCTGCCATGCCACCCACAGGAAGCACGAGGGCTGGGATACTGCCAGGTCGCTCAAACCTAGACAGGGGAAGTCGAGTGGCGGAGGTCGGGGTCGAACCACGAACATTTCGGTCAGTAAATTCGCGCTCTAACCACTTGGGCCATCTCGCAACGGCGAGGGGTAGGGGAAAAAGCACACTTGACTCGAATGCGGACCTTCCACTAGACAGATGCGTAGAGGCATCGGGCATCCTTATTGCAAAATGACCAAGATTCCAACTATCGGAGACAATCGGAGTGAACTAACCGCACTAACCAAGTTGAACTGCATGAGCCTATAATCAGGGCGATATTGTTTCAACAGTATTGCTTTGATGTAAGAAAACCCTGAAGAAAAATTCACCACAAGAAATATTCATTCTTTGTAGACACGAAATGAACAAGAAAGTTCTATTTGTGCATGGGTCAGTGTGAAATTCACAGCAAAATGTTTTTTGAAAACTAATTTTTCACGATCTCTTCTGCTCCGGGGTGTACAAAGCAAAAAACCAGTGATCGATACAAGTAAAACCAGAATAAGTTTGAGTTCGGTTTACCGGAAACCAACATGGACATGAAATTCAAAAGCCTTTCCTCACTGAAACATAAATGAGTTTGGGGTCTTGCTGACAGGGAAAGAAATCTGTTCCGAAAGCAAACTAGAAGCCAAACCTAACTCGCTAGATAGCGCGCTTCGTGAAGCTGATTAGCCACACAAGCTCGTCTCAAAACACATGCAGCTGTGAAAATCAAACCCGTGACGGGCGGACGAAAAACTGCCTTCATTATTAGTTTTCAGTTCGCAAGGGATCCGGTCGTGCAGTGGCAAGGCATCTACATCACAATTCCAACCACTGTACCCGTCGTGGTTCGCGACTATTCAGTTGATGCCCTATATCTAGAAACTAAGCTACCGGTTCGCAATCAAATCACTGCGGTTGCCTCCTTCATCTGCAAATGAACAGCAGAATACATGAGGCGCACGACAAGAAGACGAAGAGGCAAACCACATTTTCCCTGACAGTCGGGCCAAGGAGTCTAAGGCTAGCGCAACAGTCCCTCAGTTGGCTGATGCAAGTCATAAGCGCCAATTTACTGACAAAGGTCCATTGAATACCAGTGCTTAGCTCGTATTTGCTCCACATCCTCATTGGCTGATGCAAGTCATAAGCGCCAATTTACTGACAAGGGTCCATTGAATACCAGTGCTTAGCTCGTATTTGCTCACACATCCTCAGTCTGCGCGTTAATGCATGCACGATTTCCCATTCACAAAGGGGAAAACCCTCACAGCACGCTTTCTCCAAATGAATCTAATCATACGACTGGCCAGTCGGTTAAACGCGCACGTCAGTTATGTGTGGACCAACTCAACTTGTTCACCAGCGGTGACTTTGCTTACTCAACCTCTCGTGACTTCGCCCTACGTATTATTTTGGTGAAATTTCTGCCGATGCACACAAGTCTCCCACATAACAATCTGTACCAAAACAGGAGGGGGGTTTCATCGGAGACCGATGTGAATCCGAATTCTAAAGATGCCGTGCCCAAACACGTCAATCCATGTGCGATAAGTGTTGTCGTTAAAGCGCTACTTTACTGGCCATAAGTAGTTTGAAGTGTGAACAAAACATTCGGAACTTAAATGAGATCGGTTTTGTCACGAGAAGCAAAATCATCGTATTTGGAACGTTAGGGAGACCATCATACTCACACGCAATCAACCAGAATGCCACGATATTTTCTTGATCACTACGCAAAGAAAACCACATTCGGTGATTCTTTTATCATCCACTGCGACGAGCAGTAGCACGTTTTAGGTTCATGGAATATCCCGAACGGAGGCCGTCCACAAACCTGATGTATGTATACAACCAATCTAATGAGATACAAACATAAAAAGAACATCTTACCTTTGATTGGGGAGTGAATGAGCTTCTGCGGATAGGTGACGAGGCTTTTTTCTGTGTGGTGGAGAGATGATACGGAAGCATTAAACAGTGCAGTGATGAAAATACTAATAAAGTTGCGTTGGAGTTTCCATGTTGGGAGATTCAATAGACTTGAGTGAGATAACCAAACAACAGTAGTTCAGCTGTAACAAACTTTCGGTACTCAGCTGCCGTGACATCCGAATGAAGCATGTAGCGGCTCCCCTCCTGTCTACTTACCCCTGGAACTAATTTTAACAGTACATCCACATAGGTTGTCTATTATCTTATTTAACCGACAACCACGAGCATCGCCTACCTACTTCTCTCCTTCGCTAAGGGGAGAATATTTGCAGAGGTCACTTATATCACGCGTAACAAGCACTCAAATCACGTGACGATTCCTGCTCGCTACGCGCGCCAGTGTATGCGTTTGGCCGAGTTGTATGCCTATTTATTGTGTGCAGTGAGAAGAAGGGGGTGTCCCTTCGTGTTTGATGCTTGCACGAACATGAATACAACTTGGCCTGATGCGGTTGAATTTCGTAAGCCTGGCGTGTGACGCAAGTGGTAGCCGCGTAAACTAAAATGGATGGGAAGTTGCAGTGTACATGTTGTCGGCTGAGGTTGCAAATGGGACAGGAATTGTCACGCGGTTCGAGTGTTTGTGACGCGTGATCTGATGATTTACCCCTACAAGCACGGGGGCTAAGATACTGACAGGCTACCCAAGCATGTATGAAATCTGAGATGCCATGGTTGGGTTCGAACGACGGACCTTCCGGTCAGTAAGCTCGTGTCCCAACCACTGAGGTATCTTGAACCCAAGGTGAGAATAAACTAGGGTAAGGATTACTGACACACAGAACCGTAAATATTTCGCAGAAAACTATGGTCAGACTTTATGAATTCACACAGCGAACTCCAGTGTTTCATTCAATC